AATTGCACTCGTTCCTAATTTCCTCAGTGGTAGTTGTCCTCGGCCATTCCGATTGAATTGCACTCGTTCCTAGTTTCCTCAGTGGTAGTTGTCCTCGGCCATTCCGATTGAATTGCACTCGTTACTAGTTTCCTCAGTGGTAGTTGTCCTCGGCCTTTCCGATTGCATTGCACTCGTTCCTAGTTTCCTCAGTGGTAGTTGTCCTCGGCCATTCCGATTGAATTGCACTCGTTCCTAGTTTCCTCAGTGGTAGTTGTCCTCGGCCATTCCGATTGAATTGCCCTCGTTCCTAGTTTCCTCAGTGGTAGTTGTCCTCGGCCATTCCGATTGAATTGCACTCGTTCCTAGTTTCATCAGTGGTAGTTGTCCTCGGCCATTCCGATTGAATTGCACTCGTTCCTAGTTTCCTCAGTGGTAGTTGTCCTCGGCCATTCCGATTGAATTGCACTCGTTCCTAGTTTCCTCAGTGGTAGTTGTCCTCGGCCATTGCGATTGAATTGCACTCGTTCCTAGTTTCCTCAGTGGTAGTTGTCCTTGGCCATTCCGATTGAATTGCACTCGTTCCTAGTTTCCTCAGTGGTAGTTGTCCTCGGCCATTCCGATTGAATTGCACTCGTTCCTAGTTTCCTCAGTGGTAGTTGTCCTCGGCCATTCCGATTGAATTGCACTCGTTCCTTGTTTCCTCAGCGTTAGTTGTCCTCGGCCATTCCGATTGAATTGCACTCGTTCCTAGTTTCCTCAGTGGTAGTTGTCCTCGGCCATTCCGATTGAATTGCACTCGTTCCTAGTTTCCTCAGTGTTAGTTGTCCTCGGCCATTCCGATTGAATTGCACTCGTTCCTAATTTCCTCAGTGGTAGTTGTCCTCGGCCATTCCGATTGAATTGCACTCGTTCCTAGTTTCCTCAGTGGTAGTTGTCCTCGGCCATTCCGATTGAATTGCACTCGTTACTAGTTTCCTCAGTGGTAGTTGTCCTCGGCCTTTCCGATTGCATTGCACTCGTTCCTAGTTTCCTCAGTGGTAGTTGTCCTCGGCCATTCCGATTGAATTGCACTCGTTCCTAGTTTCCTCAGTGGTAGTTGTCCTCGGCCATTCCGATTGAATTGCCCTCGTTCCTAGTTTCCTCAGTGGTAGTTGTCCTCGGCCATTCCGATTGAATTGCACTCGTTCCTAGTTTCATCAGTGGTAGTTGTCCTCGGCCATTCCGATTGAATTGCACTCGTTCCTAGTTTACTCAGTGGTAGTTGTCCTCGGCCATTCTGATTGAATTGCACTCGTTCCTAGTTTCCTCAGTGGTAGTTGTCCTCGGCCATGCCGATTGAATTGCACTCGTTCCTAGTTTCCTCAGTGGTAGTTGTCCTCGGCCATCCGATTGAAGTGCACTCGTTCCTAGTTTCCTCAGTGGTAGTTGTCCTCGGCCATTCCGATTGACTTGCACTCGTTCCTAGTTTCCTCAGTGGTAGTTGTCCTCGGCCATTCCGATTGAATTGCACTCGTTCCTAGTTTCCTCAGTGGTATTTGTACTCGGCCATTCCGATTGAATTGCACTCGTTCCTAGTTTCCTCAGTGGTAGTTGTCCTCGGCCATTCCGATTGAATTGTACTCGTTCCTAGTTTCCTCAGTGGTAGTTGTCCTCGGCCATTCCGATTGAATTGCACTCGTTCCTAGTTTCCTCAGTGGTAGTTGTCCTCGGCCATTCCGATTGAAGTGCACTCGTTCCTAGTTTCCTTAGTGGTAGTTGTCCTCGGCCATTCCGATTGAATTGCACTCGTTCCTAGTTTCCTCAGTGGTAGTTGTCCTCGGCCATTCCGATTGAATTGCACTCGTTCCTAGTTTCCTCAGTGGTAGTTGTCCTCGGCCATTCCGATTGAATTGCACTCGTTCCTAGTTTCCTCAGTGGTAGTTGTCCTCGGCCATTCCGATTGAATTGCACTCGTTCCTAGTTTCCTCAGTGGTAGTTGTCCTCGGCCAATCCGATTGAATTGCACTCGTTCCTAGTTTCCTCAGTGGTAGTTGTCCTCGGCCATTCCGATTGAATTGCACTCGTTCCTAGTTTCCTCAGTGGTAGTTGTCCTCGGCCATTCCGATTGAATTGCACTCTTTCCTAGTTTCCTCAGTGGTAGTTGTCCTCGGCCATTCCGATTGAATTGCCCTCGTTCCTAGTTTCCTCAGTGGTAGTTGTCCTCGGCCATTCCGATTGAATTGCACTCGTTCCTAGTTTCCTCAGTGGTAGTTGTCCTCGGCCATTCCGATTGAATTTCACTCGTTCCTAGTTTCCTCAGTAATAGTTGTCCTCGGCCATTCCGATTGAAGTGCACTCCTTCCTAGTTTCCTCAGTGGTAGTTGTCCTCGGCCATTCCGATTGAATTGCACTCGTTCCTAGTTTCCTCAGTGGTAGTTGTCCTCGGCCATTCCGATTGAATTGCACTCGTTCCTAGTTTCCTCAGTGGTAGTTGTCCTCGGCCATTTCGATTGAATTGCACTCGTTCCTAGTTTCCTCAGTGGTAGTTGTCCTCGGCCATTCCGATTGAATTGCACTCGTTCCTAGTTTCCTCAGTGGTAGTTGTTCTCGGCCATTCCGATTGAATTGCACTCGTTCCTAGTTTCCTCAGTGGTAGTTGACCTCGGCTTCTTCTTCTTCTAGGCGTTCGGCTCGTTCGAGCCATGCCCTCTCCCCCTGCATCTGTCTGTGTGTTTGGCCATGTTTGTCGCCGACAGTGTCCTGTTGCATTTGCTACATTCCTTCTTCTTTGCTATGTATTTTCTGGGTTTTTCAGCTTCTTGAGGGTTACAGACTTTGACATGATTTTTGTATGGACCTTCTGTCTTCCATGTTTTCTGGCAACGACTGCACGTGAAAGAGTGCGAGGCTTCGGTGTGCATTCTCTTTATGTGAATCTTTAATCCCCCTACCGATTTGCAAACCTTTTCACATATGTCACACTGTAAGTTCGTCGGGGGGAGATCGAAATTCCTCTTCTCTAACTTTTCTTCCCCATCATGGCGATTCCCTTGTTGGTACTCCCATTTCTCCAAGTGGTCCATGCGTATCTTGATTCTTCTTTTCCATTCTTTTCGGTCTAAGGCAAATTTAGGTGCTTCGGTCCAGTTGATTCCGGCCTCCTTGAGCAACTTCCTCTAGTAGAAAATGGTTTTCTGTTTGTAACCTGGTCGCTTCTGGATTTCCTCGAGGCTGCCCAGCCACCCTAACACCGCCATTTTAACCGTCCTTGCGTTGCTCATTCTTAATATGTGGCCTATCCGCTCTTATGTACGTTTCTCGATCTTCCATCTCAATGATCTTATGTCGTACATGTTCCGGATGTCCTGCATATTAACCCCCTCATAATGCATTTGTTTCAGCGGTGGACCCTTTTTATTACTCCAGAGATATCTATACCTTTTATCTGTCCACGACTGAATATTATTGATCTCTTGGTTATACCACGGCCGAGTAGCGCAATCGAATAGGAGCCCACTTTCGACAAATGCTTGCACCACTTGTGCTTGTTTCTTTCTGGGAAGTTTACTTTTCAGAAGTTGCGAGCGGCATTTTGCCCATAGGTATCCAGCTCGCTTTTTTCTATTCATTAGGTCTTTTTTTGGACCTAGCCAACAACCCAACATGCGTATTTCTTCTGCTTCTTCTGATCCAAATAAAGCCTTTTCTTCTTTGTCTGTGTTGTTCTTTTCCTCAAATTTCTCCATGACTTCTTTGATAATGTTAACGCCCTCTTCCAGCTCTCTTTGCTCGCCGATGATAGTGGTTTCATCTGCGAACAAGGATATGGTTATGTTAACAGTTTGAGTCTCGCTGTTTGACTTTTCGATCTTGTTTTTATCCGGTATATTGCTGCCTGGTATCCATCGCCATTTTATGCCCGTCTGTCCATGTTTCGCGTCTGATATCTTTTTCCGTTCATTCTCCGCTATGCGCATTACCACTTGGTGATAGATATTGAATAGACATGGCGATGTCGAGCAACCCTCACTGAAACCCCGTTCTGGGATCCATTCCTCGCTATCTCCTTCCTTCCCTTTCACTTGGTAACTGGTTGCCTCGTGTAAATCTGCTAGGGATTCTAGGAAGGGTCCTTTCATCCCGTAGTTTCCCAGGATTTCCCAAAGAGCTGGTTTGTTCACTCTGGGATACGCTTTACGTAGGTCCAAAAGCCTTGCTTCGGGGTCAGTATGTTCAATTTGAGGCAGGTTCCAGATTGCTCGCCTCTTCTTTAGATCGTCTGCGTCTTCTGTTATTCTGACCAGGATTTGTGTTGCATCCGCAGTCGACCTTCCGGTCCTGAAGCCGCTTTGATTGTCATCTAGAAGATTTAGGCGTTCTGTCCACTTTCTTAGTCTTTTGGACAGAATTCTTGCTAGGATCCTGCTGCCCATGGCCAATAGGCAGACTCCTCTATAGTTGTTTACATCATTTTTTCCGCCCTTCTTATGTAGGGGTACTATTTGTCCGTTCTTTAGGATTTCGTCCCATGTCGGGGCGCGGAATAAGAACATCTTTTTAACCATGGCCACTATTGCTGATTTAACATGTGGGCTGGCCAATTTGATGTACTTTATGCGGACCTTGTCTTTTCCGGGCGCGGACTCCCTTATTTCACTGATGCAGTCCTGTATTTCTTTATCCGATGGGGTCTCATTTAGCAGGTTATTTTCTTCGATATACTTCTTTTCCGCTCTGTGATCCCCCATACGTGCAACAGTATTCATTAGAAGCTGAGGGCTGATTTCATATCGGTTTTTCGATACTCGTTCGAAGTGGGCTTTGAATTCATCAGTTGTGAGTGTTGTGCCAGTATCCGGTTTCCTATCTCTGCCGCCTAATTGGCGTAGTGTTCGGTACATGGTGCCCATATCTCTTTTGATGTTGGCCTGTTGGCATTTGTCTAGGATTTTATCCCACCATTCACGTTCTAATTCCTTCAGCTTCCCCTTCATTTTAGCCCTTGCTTTCCTAAGGTTGTCCCTATTACGCAGTATAACTTAAAGTGGACGGTCCTGCTCTAAGGATTCGTTTCTATCCCTCACGGCCGAAGCTATGGAATTATGGAGCTGTGACAGCTCATCTTCGTGGCCGATCGTCCACGGATTCGCTATCTGCCTGGTTCTCTTTCCACATAACTTTAATGCAGCTTGCGCTAGCGCTGTCGCTATTTCGCTCCATGAGCTATCCTCGTCCACCTCCTTTGTCTCGGTCTCCTTTTGGAATTTTAGAGCTGTCTGCTCAGTACTCAATTTCTCCCAGTTTGTTGCTGGTTTCCGTGCTACTCTTGTTGGTCTGGACCTCTTTGGGATTTTTAGGTGGAGGGATACCGGCTTGTGGTCCGATAGCGTTAGCTCCTCGGTAATTTGTATCCTTTTTGCATGCCTGTGCCTTTCTCCTCGCCTCATTATACATCCGTCCAGCTCATACCATCTGCGGTGGCTGTGGTTAAACCAAGTTCCCCTTTTCCTAAGGTTAGAGAAAAAGTTTATCCATTGGAGATCGTGCGCTACACACCAATCGAGGAGGTCTCCTCCTGCTTCGGTTGTTGGCGTGGTTAGACCATACCTTCCATTTGTTTCACAGGCTCTCTCCCTTCCAATGTGAGCATTATGGTCCCCTCCAATTATTAATACCTTGGTCTTGGGGGTTCGGGCTACTTCATTTTCTAGGCAGTGTCTATATTCTTCTATTCCTTCGACCCCGTTACTCCAAAGTGGTTGGTAAACTGATATAATTTTCATACCATGTACCTCTATGGCGGTAGTGCGCTCCGAGAAACTTTTCTTTTGGCCTTCGCTGATCCAGAACTTGAGGGCCTCGCCACTGAGAACTATACCGCTACGTTGGGAGTGTATAACAACTGTTTGTTCACTAGCTTCACCTATCCATATCACTCCTTTCGATTTTGATCGAAGCTCTGATATTAGGATTATTTCCCATCTTTTGCCTTGTGCATACGTAATTACTCTCTTCAGTCGGTTTCTGTTTCTTTCGTGGACTGATAACCCTTGTAGGTTCCATGCTGTTACCGTAATACTCGGCTGTCCCTCGGGGGGAGTGGGTAATCTTCTTTGTCTTCTCTTCTGTCTGCGAGCTTCCCGGTGTTCTTCAGTGGGGCGTCTCATTTTTCCTCTCCTTGTTTTCTCCCCTTTTTACGAGTCTTTTTGCCGCAGAAGATGTTGCGCGGTGTTTTCGCAACTGTCTATGCCCCTGGTTTCTTCTTCTTCAGGCTCCTGTCCGGGATGGAGGCAGGGACTCTTCGGTTCCTCTCTTTGCGGGAGCTCGTTTGTCAGTGTTGGGCCCTGCGCGGGGTTGTCGCAGGTATTTGTTCCCCTCGGTTCACCCTCTGCTGACTCCTGGTCGAGGTGGGGCCAGGGAGCTTGATCCCTTGGTTCCCTTGTGTCTGTTCCGTTTGCTTCCTTTGGCTCCTGCGCGGGGTTTTCGCAGGGTTTTTCTCCCCTCGTTTCAACCTCGGGAACTCCCTGTCAGGGTTCGACAGAGCGGAACTGCATTTGGTGCACTCAAATGCATATCGGTTGGCTTTAGCTAGCAGTTGGATCTCTTGCCGGGATAGACCGCTACATCCTTGGTGTATCCATTGTTCGCACCATGTGCATTTCACGCTGTTGCTTGTTACTTTCTTCCTGCATTCTCCGCACAGCGTGGGTCCCGGATTCTTCTCAACGTCTCCGGCCCTCGTTATTAGCTGACCCAGATGGGCTAGTCCCGAGTCAGCGACAAAAAACCCGACACATTCGAATCTGGGGGAGGTTCTGGCCACAATGTTGTTGTAAGAGGTGCTCTGACTGGCTGGGTCTTCGCCACTCTGTCGGTATTCCGGGGGGTTTTGGGTCCTCGCCGTTCCCGGTTTGTTCCCTTCCGTTCCGAAAACCCTGTGTGTTCTTTGCCGCACAGATAACTCGTGCGTTTCCCGCTTGTCCCGCTCGGAGGGCACACACGCACAAGCTTGGCCTCGGCCATTCCGATTGAATTGCCCTCGTTCCTAGTTTCCTCAGTGGTAGTTGTCCTCGGCCATTCCGATTGAATTGCACTCGTTCCTAGTTTCCTCAGTGGTAGTTGTCCTCGGCCATTCCGATTGAATTGCACTCGTTCCTAGTTTCCTCAGTGGTAGTTGTCCTCGGCCATTCCGATTGAATTGCACTCGTTCCTAGTTTCCTCAGTGGTAGTTGTCCTCGGCCATTCCGATTGAATTGCACTCGTTCCTAGTTTCCTCAGTGGTAGTTGTCCTCGGCCATTCCGATTGAATTGCACTCGTTCCTAGTTTCCTCAGTGGTAGTTGTCCTCGGCCATTCCGATTGAATTGCACTCGTTCCTAGTTTCCTCAGTGGTAGTTGTCCTCGGCCATTCCGATTGAATTGCACTCGTTCCTAGTTTTCTCAGTGGTAGTTGTCCTCGGCCATTCCGATTGAATTGCACTTCGTTCCTAGTTTCCTCAGTGGTAGTTGTCCTCGGCCATTCCGATTGAATTGCACTCGTTCCTAGTTTCCTCAGTGGTAGTTGTCCTCGGCCATTCCGATTGAATTGCACTCGTTCCTAGTTTCCTCAGTGGTAGTTGTCCTCGGCCATTCCGATTGAATTGCACTCGTTCCTAGTTTCCTCAGTGGTAGTTGTCCTCGGCCATTCCGATTGAATTGCACTCGTTCCTAGTTTCCTCAGTGGTAGTTGTCCTCGGCCATTCCGATTGAATTGCACTCGTTCCTAGTTTCCTCAGTGGTAGTTGTCCTCGGCCTTTCCGATTGAATTGCACTCGTTCCTAGTTTCCTCAGTGGTAGTTGTCCTCGGCCATTCCGATTGAATTGCACTCGTTCCTAGTTTTCTCAGTGGTAGTTGTCCTCGGCCATTCCGATTGAATTGCACTCGTTCCTAGTTTCCTCAGTGGTAGTTGTCCTCGGCCATTCCGATTGAATTGCACTCGTTCCTAGTTTCCTCAGTGGTAGTTGTCCTCGGCCATTCCGATTGAATTGCACTCGTTCCTAGTTTCCTCAGTGGTAGTTGTCCTCGGCCATTCCGATTGAATTGCACTCGTTCCTAGTTTCCTCAGTGGTAGTTGTCCTCGGCCATTCCGATTGAAATGCACTCGTTCCTAGTTTCCTCAGTGGTAGTTGTCCTCGGCCATTCCGATTGAATTGCACTCGTTCCTAGTTTCCTCAGTGGTAGTTGTCCTCGGCCTTTCCGATTGAATTGCCCTCGTTCCTAGTTTCCTCAGTGGTAGTTGTCCTCGGCCATTCCGATTGAATTGCACTCGTTCCTAGTTTCTTCAGTGGTAGTTGTCCTCGGCCATTCCGATTGAATTGCACACGTTCCTAGTTTCCTCAGTGGTAGTTGTCCTCGGCCATTCCGATTGAATTGCAATCGTTCCTAGTTTCGTCAGTGGTAGTTGTCCTCGGCCATTCCGATTGAATTGCACTCGTTCCTAGTTTCCTCAGTGGTAGTTGTCCTCGGCCATTCCGATTGAATTGCACTCGTTCCTAGTTTCCTCAGTGGTAGTTGTCCTCGGCCATTCCGATTGAGTTGCACTCGTTCCTAGTTTCCTCAGTGGTAGTTGTCCTCGGCCATTCCGATTGAATTGCACTCGTTCCTAGTTTCCTCAGTGGTAGTTGTCCTCGGCCATTCCGATTGAATTGCACTCGTTCCTAGTTTCCTCAGTGGTAGTTGTCCTCGGCCATTCCGATTGAATTGCACTCGTTCCTAGTTTCCTCAGTGGTAGTTGTCATCGGCCATTCCGATTGAATTGCACTCGTTCCTAGTTTCCTCAGTGGTAGTTGTCCTCGGCCATTCCGATTGAATTGCACTCGTTCCTAGTTTCCTCAGTGGTAGTTGTCCTCGGCCATTCCGATTGAATTGCACTCGTTCCTAGTTTCCTCAGTGGTAGTTGTCCTCGGCCATTCCGATTGAATTGCACTCGTTCCTAGTTTTCTCAGTGGTAGTTGTCCTCGGCCATTCCGATTGAGTTGCACTCGTTCCTAGTTTCCTCAGTGGTAGTTGTCCTTGGCCATTCCGATTGAATTGCACTCGTTCCTAGTTTCCTCAGTGGTAGTTGTCCTCGGCCATTCCGATTGAATTGCACTCGTTCCTAGTTTCCTCAGTGGTAGTTGTCCTCGGCCATTCCGATTGAATTGCACTCGTTCCTAGTTTCCTCAGTGGTAGTTGTCCTCGGCCATTCCGATTGAATTGCACTCGTTCCTAGTTTCCTCAGTGGTAGTTGTCCTCGGCCATTCCGATTGAATTGCACTCGTTCCTAGTTTCCTCAGTGGTAGTTGTCCTCGGCCATTCCGATTGAATTGCACTCGTTCCTAGTTTTCTCAGTGGTAGTTGTCCTCGGCCATTCCGATTGAATTGCACTCGTTCCTAGTTTCCTCAGTGGTAGTTGTCCTCGGCCATTCCGATTGAATTGCACTTGTTCCTAGTTTCCTCAGTGGTAGTTGTCCTCGGCCATTCCGATTGAATTGCACTCGTTCCTAGTTTCCTCAGTGGTAGTTGTCCTCGGCCATTCCGATTGAATTGCACTCGTTCCTAGTTTCCTCAGTGGTAGTTGTCCTCGGCCATTCCGATTGAATTGCACTCGTTCCTAGATTCCTCAGTGGTAGTTGTCCTCCGCCTTTCCGATTGAATTGCCCTCGTTCCTAGTTTCCTCAGTGGTAGTTGTCCTCGGCCATTCCGATTGAATTGCACTCGTTCCTAGTTTCCTCAGTGGTAGTTGTCCTCGGCCATTCCGATTGAATTGCACTCGTTCCTAGTTTCCTCAGTGGTAGTTGTCCTCGGCCATTCCGATTGAATTGCCCTCGTTCCTAGTTTCCTCATTGGTAGTTGTCCTCGGCCATTCCGATTGAATTGCCCTCGTTCCTAGTTTCCTCAGTGGTAGTTGTCCTCGGCCATTCCGATTGAATTGCACTCGTTCCTAGTTTCCTCAGTGGTAGTTGTCCTAACTGTTTTGTACTGTTTTGAAAATTGGAATTGCCGGTTTTTTATGAGGTGCACGCTTCGCACTGCTATCTTATCTTCTGCGCCTTGATTGCTATTTTTTTCCATTTCGGGTGTGTTGCTTTGATTGTGGTATTCGCGCTCATTTTTTTTTTGCTTTTATCAAGTCTAAAACGCTCTGCTCTGACCTGATACTGGCTACTTGTCCGAGACCATTAATTTGTGAGTACCTCGTAATTTTAAGATCGATCAAACATCTTTCAACTAAAATTTCCTAATGTTCTGTTGGTTCCGCACAACATTCTAGAACGAATTTTAAAAACTTTCCTTTTCGCTTTATGATTTTTTTCATAAACGCCAAAAATTCCCATTTCATTTGTATGACGAGCTTATCTATGCCTTGATCAACGTCTGATATCATCTTATTCAAATTCATCAATTGACCAGTTCTGCAGCTTATTTTGAGCTACCACGGAAACAGACAGCAGCAAGTACAAATGCGTGGTTTATTGTCTACCTTTTATCCGTAGAAAGCGGGGTGCCAGAGTGCTCAGAGTTAGAACACTTCCTCTTTAGTAGTTTCTGCGATGATTTGTCAGCAAAAATCATAACATAAAGTTATGGTTATGCAGAGGACAATAAATTTATTGCAGCTAATCTCATAACGCTACTTATTGATGCAAAGCAATCACTAGCTGGTGCGATTAAAACCAACGGGAGCCAATTAGAAAAAAAGCAAATTAAACAATATCAAAAGAGAATGCAGTGTCACGCTGGATAACAGAAAAAAGAGGGATGTCAAAAAAGATCTAGGAGTCTTTCTTAAAGAAAACCTTACTTGCCATGAGCAAGATTAAAAATGGTAGAGAAAACGCTGAAATCTTTCTGCATATTAAATCTCGAAAGTGCTGATTTTTTTGCCTGGCTAATGAAAAACAAACTCTTTAGATTTTTTTTTGTGCCCTGCAATGTAATGCGTACGGCTCGAATCTGTGGAAAGTCTCCAAACCTGATCTTAAGGTCATCGATAGTTTTCAACGCGAAGTCACAGTTTGGTTTCAAATGGCGAGCAAATGGAGTTTAGAGAACGCCTTCAGATACTAGATTTTTCAAGTTTGCCAATAACATATTTTCAAGGGTCAATAACATATGTAGTGGGTGATAAAACGATAATGGTAAGAAA